TGTTACGTGTTGCATGACATCAGTGAAGGCACGAGGCCGTATCTGGTGTATTTATGGACACTTAATTCCATATTCCTTCGTTCAGCTCCCGATTGACCGTGGTGGTGGAGAGGGAAAAGCCATGTACATCGACACGGAGGGGACCTTCCGTCCGGAGCGGCTCCTGGCTGTGGCTGAAAGGTCTGTGAGGGGAAGAAAGGAATATATTTGCTCACAGCTTGGCTGGAAGGCATTTTACACAGGTCCTGGAGGTTGACTTGGTAGATGCTCACTCTGGAAACATCTGATGTTTCTATTCCTCTCCTGTCTCTGCCACTCTCTCCCTACAGCTCTCGTGTCATTGTCCCTCAGCAGGAAGTGATTTCCCTCACTTTTTGCTACTGGAAGGGCACCTGAGCATCCCAAGCAGCTGGGAACAGTACCAGCTCCTGTCAGCTCTTTTGGAAGGGAATTTGATCTAATCCTGCTGGCTTTTCCTGCAGCAAGGAGTGCTCCCACCAGTGGATATTTGGCAACAAACATCTCTGGATGACACTGATGACACTTGATACTGATGGGAAAGGCAAATGATGTTTGCAGCAGTCATAGGTGTGTCTGTGCTGGCTGTATACAGAGAGTACTTGGAATCATGGAATTGTTCAGGTTGGAAAAGGCCTCTATGATCCAGCCACTGCCCAGCACTGCCGAGGCCGCCACTAACCTGTGTCCCCAGGTGCCACATCCACAGGGCTTTAAATCCCTCCACTGGTCCAGGCAGCCTGTGCTAGGGCTGGACAGCCTTTCCAAATGTCCCAATATCCAACCTGAACCTCCCCTGGTATCACTTGAAGCTGTTTCCTCTCATCCACTTAAAATGGTTCCAATTATTCCATTCTCTTTTCATCCCTACGTGCTGCATTTTTTCCACCTGTTTTTCTCTCTCCCAGGAACGTGAGTTTTTATTCCAGCCTTTAGGCAGAGCTCCATAGGATAACTCCTACAGAGGAAGTTGTCACTTAGAGGCTTCTCTCTTTATTTCCCCAGGTATGGCTTGTCTGGCAGTGACGTCCTGGACAACGTGGCCTATGCCCGGGGCTTCAACACGGACCACCAGACCCAGCTGCTGTATCAGGCCTCGGCCATGATGGCTGAGTCACGGTAAGAACCCTGATGTTGTGGATCCTATTCCCAAACTGGGTTATCCTTTGGTTTATCCAGGTGACAGGCTCTGTGGGCAATCAGTGATCCTCAGCACCTCTCTGGCTGCTGGGATTTGGGGTGACAGCACCTGGCTCGGCCCGATGTCACTGTACAAACACAGTAAATTGTCCCCCAGTGCCAGCCTGAGAAACAACTTTAAAGCTCAGTTTATAACTGTTTTTAGAAATAATGTCGATTATTTCCAAGCTCCCAGAAATCCTGGGACTGGAAGTAAGACTTACACGCTGTTAGAGGGAAGGTGATGGTGAAACAGGGTGTGTAGGAACCTGTCCACAGGCACCTGTGCTGTCCAAACAGGATGTTTGTTACACCACAATGAATCTAATTTATTAACCATGCAGGAGTCCCTTTAAGTTTGCTGGGGTTTCTTGTGTGGGGAGGAGCTGCCGCCCCACCTGGAGCAGCATCCCAGCTCTCCCAGCCCCAGCACGCTCCCGGGGAGGCGTTGGCCGTGCCTGGCAGCGCTGCTGACCCCGAGTGCCTTTGCCAGGTACGCGCTGCTGATCGTGGACAGCGCCACAGCCCTGTACCGCACGGATTACTCGGGAAGGGGGGAGCTCTCGACCAGGCAGATGCACCTGGCCAGGTTCCTGCGGATGCTGCTGCGCCTGGCGGATGAGGTAACACAGCGCTGCGTCATTCCCCAAATCGAACTCCGCACTGTCCTCATGAATCCCAGCGACTCTGCACAAAGGGCTTTGTCGCTCAGTCTGTGCTTCCCGTGGTTCTGAGGGGCTTGATGCCACGGTTGTGAGCACCGAGGGTGCACCTGGCTCTACTCCCCCCCCCTTTCTGTTCAGACTGTGGGAAATAGCTGGGTTCTGGTTGCTTGCCCCTGCAGTTCGGCGTGGCCGTGGTCATCACCAAACAGGTGGTGGCACAGGTGGACGGAGCCGCCATGTTCGCTGCAGATCCCAAAAAACCCATCGGAGGGAATATCATCGCTCATGCTTCCACCACCAGGTGAGAGGAGAGACGGTCACCTCCCAGGAGCCTGATTTGGGGTTTATGGAATTGGCTAAGTAGTTATTAATTCTGGGGTTTACTTAGTCTGTCCGTGGCAGGTCCAGCCTGGGCTTCGATTTAGTGCTGCTCTGAGCCCTCAGGGAAATGAAGGTTTTGGGCATGTTCCTACAGCTCTGCATAGTGCTTTATGGATTAGGAGGATTTTCTGGAAGTAGGCTGTGCACCCTGACCTGTTTCCTTCCCTCTCCCTGTCAGATTGTACCTGCGGAAAGGCTGAGGAGAGACCAGGATCTGTAAAATCTACGACTCTCCGTGTCTTCCCGAGGCTGAGGCCATGTTTGCTATCAATGCCGACGGAGTGGGAGATGCTAAAGAGTGAAAAGTGCTTTTTTCCCCCTGAATCCCAAGACTGTGTCCATAAGGGGCTCCCTTCTGTGTGGCACCTTATGGACATTCCCCAAGGCAGCTGGCAGAGGAACCTGTTGTGTGTCAGGGTGTGTCCATCGGGACACCCGGAGGGGTTGGGAAGACATCTCCCACTGGGCTGTAGTCACAGATTGGATCCATGTGGTGCCCTGAGAACATTCCCAGAGGATCACACCCTTTGTGTTTTCCTGGCTTCCACCATGCATGTGGGGCAGTAAAATCTACGTGGCCACAGTTCTGAACTTGGTGAATTTGAACTAAAGTTGGTGGGTTTGTCCTGTAAGAAAAGTGGTGATTTATAAAACCGAGCAGAGTGATATTCCACACTAGGGATTTGGGATTGGTGATGATCCCAGTCCATAATCTTTCTGTTCATTTTCTTTTGGATGCTGCAACCTGCTGGTCTGGGGGAACTGTTCATTCCCATTTCAGTTTAATTTTCAGTAATTCATTAATTCTCTGTGGAAATCTGCTTTTAATAAAAAGGACCATGAGGATATTGATGACATCACATGTTCCTAGGACTCAGGTGGGTGTTCATGCAGACCAAGGATTTTTTTGGATGGAAGAAGCTGCACCAATCTCCAAGGAATCTCAGTCTGGGTTTTTCTTTTCTCCTAATTCTCCTTGGTTTAGGGGTGCAGTGCAGCCATGCCCTGTCTATCTCTTTTAAGAGTTTTTGGGGCTAAAAATGTTCTTTTGTATTCTGCGATATTTATATATCTCTTGATTAAAAAGAATAATATAATATTGATTTGGTTTTAATTTGTTCATTTGAGGTGGTTAATTAAAGCAAATCATTGATAAGGGAGTGTGCTGAGATCGAGCTCTGGCTGCAGGGGACTGTCAGGCCTTGGTGGCTGTGAGTTCATGTTCTTCTCACTGGGAAATTGGAAATAGTTATTAATTAGATTGCAGAAATGTTTTCTAAAACCTTTTCCCTTCTTTCTGCCTTTTGCTGATAGGTCTTCTCTTTCTGCCTTTGAATGTACAGCTGTTCCTTGGTGTGGATTCACTGGCCTGAATTCCTTGCAGCTCCCAGCTGGGAAAACCTGGGATAACCTAGAGAGGACAGAGGTGACATTTTTATCTGAAAACCTGGGGTAATTTATAAGGGATACAGCAACTGTTTTTGTAGGAAAGTGTGTTTAACCACATTGGCCCTGGTTGTGTTTGCACCAGCTGGGGCCCGAGGTGCAAGGCAATCCAAAGCAAACCCTGCTCAGCCTCTGAATCCCAGGGTAAATTCTGCAAGCTGCTAATTGAGGGACTAAAAATACATTAAAATGGAACCAAGAGCACTAAGAAGGTGCCTGGGAATCCCAGTATTGTTGTCCTAGAATTTTGAACAGGTTTTCAAGCTTTTTAAGACAACAATGGCTTTCTTCCTTTAGATGAGTCTCTCGGTAAGATTTGGGGTTTATTCGAATCCCTCCCGGTGGCCCTGACACTGATCAGGAGCTGGCAGGACAGACTCAGAGCTCCTGGCAGGTACAGGGGTTTCCCCCAGAGTGGTTCCAAGTGCTGCCCACCAGCCCGGACAGGTGGGATCTGCTTTGGCTCCTGTCTGAGGAGCTGCAGGCAGCCCTTTCTCCGTGCCCACCCCAGTGCCCGTGGCTGGGTTCCCACCCCTCGGATGTGAATTTTGCAGATGAGCCGTGCCTGGGGGACAAATCCATCTTCTGCCCGCTGGAAGTGCTGGCCCGGAGCTGCTCCATCCCTGCTGCCACGAGCTGTGCTGGGTCCTGCGGCTGCGGGTGGGATTCCCCCATCTCTGGACGCTCCGGAGCGCCGCGAGCCCCGGCAGGGCAGTGCAGGGCACGGCTCATCCGTCCCCTGCAAAGAGGAAGCACAAGGAGGGCTGGGTCGCTGCCTGTTGCTCCGTCCTCCTCCCGCCCCGCATTCCCTGTCCGGCTGGGACCGCACAGGGAGCCCCGAAAACATTCCTGGTAGGAAGCAGGAGCCGCCGAGGGCTCCATCCCGCTCCAGACCCGAAAAGCGGCCCCGACCCGGCATCCCCCCCGCCCCCCGGCATTTTGGGTTGCAAACGCTCACCTGGAGGAGACGCCCCCCTGCAGGCGGGACCAGACGGCGACCCTCGACCTGTGCCTCGGAGCGAGGGAACCCTCCGGACTCGTTTGGCTCCTTTGTCCCTGGAACGGCCGTCGCGCGAGCACCTCGACAGTCGTTGGGGAAATCCCGGACGGGGCAGGAAAACCTCCCCGAGCACGGCAATCCTGAGTTCGTGCCCGTCCCCAGCCGGGCACAGCCCAGCCGGCCGCGCTCCCTCCGGCCCGTGCCTGCGAAGGGCTCGTGCAGCGGAGGGAGAGCTGCAGAGATTTAATAAACGTGAATTTCCCGACAGTATTTCCCTGCGGTCCTTCCCTCCTTTGACTCGCGCGGCAGCGTCTGATTGGAGCATTTTTCAGTTTCCTCTCCTGTAGCCGTTTCCCTCGCAGGCACCACCTTCCCGATCTGCAAATTAAATGTTTCCATGGGATTTTTAAAACCACAAGGTTTGCCATGGGAGGGTGCGAGTTGCAGAGAGAGTGGGGGAGAGGAAGGAGAGCCTCGGGTCTCACCTGGCAGCTGCCAGATGAGTTGCAGTTTCTGGATCGCAGGGAAAAGAATTGCTGTTGGAAATTACGGCCGTTCCGAAGGCAGAGGTGGGACCAGCCTGTGCCCGACCCGCGGCACAGTCAGCGCCAGCTCCTGGGGCTGCCTGTGGACAGACACACGGACACGGGGACAGCCGGGCAGCTCTGCTCGGGGTCCCGGAGCACACGAGGAACGAGGAAAGGGCCGCCACCGTTCTTCCCTGCCCCGGCAATGGCCCCGGCTTACCGCGGCCGGAGCGGGCACGTGCCCGGAGCCCCGGAGGGCCCCAGATCCCCCTTTCCCGCGGGCACTGCTGTTGCGGAGAAGGACTACGTTCTCTCCGGGAGGGATGCGGTGGTCTCGGGGCTCTGACCCCGCGGGGGGTGCGGGCGGTCCTGCGGGCCCGGCGAGTTCGGGGGCTCCCAGGGAAGGCCCGGCGCGTCCCCGCGAGGACGTACGAGGAAAGCGCCGCCGTTCTCCCGCACCCGGGCTCCGGCAGAGCCCCGGCCCGAGTGGCCCCGCCGGGCTCGGTTCGATCGACAGTCCATAGGGAAAGTCCCCCCCTCCTAACCTCCCTCCCCAACCCTCTTCTCCGCAGGCGGCCCCATCCCCGACCGCCCCCCGGAAGAGGAGTCCTGGAATGGGAGGGGTTAGCGGGGAAACTCGCCCCTCCTCCCCTCCCACCCCGGGACCCCGCTCCTCCGGAGGGGAGGTCCCTCTGACCGCTCCCCGGGGCAGGGAGACGCGGGGTGGGAGGAATCAGAGGGGGAGAAGTCCCCCTCCTCCTCCCACCCCGGGACTCCGCTCCCCTGGATGGGGGTCCCCCTGCCCCCGCCCTCCTCCCCTCCTCCACGAGCCCCCTCCTCCGGAGGGCGCCTTATCCCTGCCCGCCCGCCTCCCCCGCCCCAAGCGGCCCTGGGTTCGGTCCCGGCAATAGACCTCGACGTCTATTCCCGAGACCGAACCAGCACCCACCCACGGAACCCTAAGTGTGATGTCGAGACGGGCCGAAGGCCCGGCCGTGTCGGGCGGTGCTTGTGAACTGCAGGGGGGGACCGCCGAGCGGGCCCGGACACGTGCGGGGGATCCAGAGTGGGGGCCGGGTTGGACCATGGCAGCTTTATTAAATATGCCACCCCAGTTCTGTCCCACCCACCTGAGCTGGGCAGCTGAGGCCAAGGCTCCCTTTCCTCCTGGCAATCACTGTCCCAGCGCACCAAGGCCCATGCTGGGCAGCACCTGGGAAAACTTGGGAAAGGCAATAGGAAAAGGGCGCTGCCTGTCAGAAAATGAGTGCCCACAAACACACCTTTTGGACAAATAACATCACTCTCCTCCCATAAACACAGGCCAGGCAGGGCTCTCCAGCCCAGGGGAGAACTGGCAGGAGAACTGCAGGGAACACAGGGAGACAAAGTCAGGTATTGCCACTTACTCCCTGCAGCCCCCTCAGCACTTGGGGCTCCTGGCTCTTGATTTATAAAGAATGGGGGGGAAGCAGAGCAGGAGTGCCACTCAAAAAGGAGTGCCTTGGCACCTGGAGCATCAGAGGAGGGGAGTTGTGAGGGGAGACCCAGAGAGAGAACAGCAAGGGAGTTTGTTCAGGAACAGGGTGTATGTCCAGCAGTGACGGCAACTGCAAACAGGGGATGCTGCAGGAATGCAGGAGGGGAGCACGGGCCCGGCTTGGATGGAGCCTTTTGCCCTTTGCTCAGAGCAACATCTCTGAGAGCAAGAGAGAACTGCTGCAGGGCAAGAGTTCATTTAGGCACAAGTCAGTGATGCAGCCCCTGGGCAAGGGGAAGAGGAACGGACACCAAAGTCACACAATCACCACTTTATTGAGCTGCAACACAAATACAGTCACAGCAGGCCAGGGCAAGAGGTGCACACAGGACTACCAACACAGCAGCTGGGCTTGCAGGAACACTCTCTCCTCAAGTTATGGAGCAAGGGGTTGACAGGTGGGAGCCAGCCTGGAGCACTGGAGAGCACTCAGGCATCAGGGCCAAGTCCTGCCTGGTCACTGCAGACAGTTCAGCCCCAGCACCAGGGGGAGTTTCTGCCTCTCCCTCCAAGAGTATTTGGGACCCAACAGCTCGTTGCTGAGGAATTTGATCTTCATGAATGTTTTACAAAGTTGAGCTTCAGGAGAACTGGGACACTTTTCATTATTCCTGACTCTTCCAGGGCTGCACTTGCCAGGATCTTTTGGGCAAAAGGAACCTTCCAGACTGCTCCAAACCTTCACAGCCCACTTGCTCTTCTTGCCACAGCTGGACCAGCTCAGTGTCCCTGCAGAAAGGGAAAATTCAATGATTCTCTCTGAAACCAGAACCTCCCCTGCTTTGCTTTCCCTACACAACTGAGGCCCTTCCAGGCCTTGCCAAGTGGTAGCCAAGGAATCCAACCCAAGAACCTGCCAGTGAGCAACGTCTGTGCCACAGCAACAGCATTCCAGGCCTGTCACTGTCAACCCTCCGCTTCTCCCAACAGCTCCAGTGGCATCGGAACTTGCCCTGAAGGCAGAAAGGCTCCTTTAGGGAGCACCACGAGCCATCTGTAAGGTAGCACTGGAATTCCATCTCCTGGACAAGCTGGGAGAAGAAGGGAAGAAAGCCAGGATCTTACAGGTCAATTAGGGACATCCAACAGCAGCTCCAATAAAGGTACTGAGCCAACACCTCACCAAAGACACAGGACAACAAGGACCAACAGCTCAACAGTCACTTCAGTTTGCAATTTATAAAGCAAAACAACAACAAAAAAGCTTTTCAGTCGCTTGGGAAGAGTCCATCCCATTGTAACCAGCTTGTGGGACTCATTCCCAGCCTCCTGAGGTTCATTTCCCACCTCACTCGTGGCTGCACTAGAGCTGCTTCTACACACACACACACACAGAAGGAGCTGCTGCAGCTTGTCCAGTTTCCTGGTTCTCCTTGAAACTCCTCCAGCTGTTTGCCCAGCTCTCCAGTGTCCATTCCTTTGCCCACTGGACTTGTTCACAGCCCCAAGGCTCCCAGGGCCACCCTGGGCTCTCACCTGCCCTCACACTGAGTGACCTTTCCCAGCCCCGAGTTCAGCCAGCACTGACCGAGCTGTTGGGAGCTGCAGTTCTCCCTGCTCCTTCCCTCCCTCTGCCTGGAAAACACCCCTTCCAGCTCCGGCATCCTCACCTCTTACCTCCCAGAAAAGCAGAGCTGCATCCTCCTGGATCCTCCAGCTGGACGCTGCTGGCTCTGTGCAGCTCCCACCCTGCAGCAGGGGATGGCAAAGGGAGCTCTGGGCACTGTCCCAAGGGCAGGTGACACCGACTGTGGCTCACACCAACACGGAGCCATCTCAGGGCTGGGCTCTTCTGGCTGCAGGGCAACAAACAGCCAAGCAGGAACACTTTGCCACTGAAAGGAAACAGTGACAACAAACTTCAGAGGCTGGGACACCACAGCCCCCAAACCTGCCCAGGCTCCAGCTGCTGCACAGACCTGTGGCCAGACAGGACCCAAACCCACAGCCAGCACAGACAACCATGGGGAGGTCAAGCTGCTCATTGCCAACCACAACCAAACATCCACTGCCAGTGTCTGTCAGCCCTTGCTCCCAGGAATCAATCATCTTTCCCATTTCCTTTCTTTACAGGTTCTTGCATTCACATTCTACTCTCAAACCATGATTACCAAACTTGGCTGTTACAGGAACCAATCCAACTTGGCTTCCTAATTTTAAAGGATACTGGGTTTGCCTTACCAGTACAGACTCTGGCTTAGGGGTAATTCTTACAGGTTCCGCGCTGGTCCAGTTTCCTGGAATTCCACTGGCCCACATGACAGGAACAACTCCATCTGCCACTTCAGTCGGGACAGTGCTGCTGACAGGAGTTATTCCCTGCACAAGAAGAGCTGCTGCTCTCCCACATTTAGTTTCAGGAATTACAATTTCAATATCCCCATTTTCCAATTTCATTTCTGCCTCAACTTTTCCAATCAATCTCTTCCTAGAAGAGATTTGGGTGACTTTGGCAAAGAGAAACTCATTGTTTTCCCAGTTTAACCCCTGTCACAATCAATCACCTTCACAGTGCCATCCCTTAATTCTCCTTCTATTATGTTAAGGAGTGAGGAAGTTGTAACTGTGTCTGACCAGGACATGTGCAAACCAAAGGGTGGGGACTGGAACCCACACCTTGCACTCCTGCAGCTCTCACAATTCCTGTCAAGAGAAAACAGGCAATGGTACCATCACCGCTCATTCCTTAATCCCAATCCCACACCTCTTTTGCAGTTGCAGCACCACTTTTATAACCCAATAACAGTCCATTCCAGAGCTCCATGGCCAGGATGGACAGGTACACCTCTGATACCCTCAGGAATGCCTCAATCCATTCCAGGGACCTTGCTTTGAGCTCCCCAGCTTGGGGCACCCACAGGAGCTCCCCGAAGAATCCTTTCGGTGCGCGCTCAAGTCCTCGAGGTCCCCGAGCCCGGGGGGCACCAACAGCACTGTCCCTCCAGGGGGCCCAATCTGCTCCCAAAATGCAGGGGGATCGTGCCTGTGTCCCAGACTGCTCCGGGGATCTGAGGGCCTTCCCGAGAACATCTCGGTGCTGGCATGAAGGCCCAGAGATACCTCGGAACCACGGGGGAGCAGGCACAGAGTCCCTGCTGAGGGCCCATTTGGCTGCCTGAAAACAGCTCGGCAAAGAAGCCTCTAAGACTCAGCTGGTGAGTTTCAGAAGCCAGGCATTCCTTGCTTACAACACCCTGCAATCATCCCAGCCCTCTGGATGTTGTGGCAATCAGCTCCCACAGTGCACACAGAGGTGTCTCCACTGCAGCTGATGGGAGGGCTCAGCATTACATGAGGGTTCACTTTGTTCCCTGCATTCCTCTTCCGAATCCAGGACATTCCCGAACACCTGTTACCATACACACACCCCCTTATAAGGCCTCTCAGTGGCTACATTGGGGGTCTCTGGTGGTCACCTGTGCCTGGAGCCCCCAAAGTTCTAAGTCACCACCTTATCAACTTCAAGGCAATTCACCTGGTTGCAGAGTAACTTGGTGTTGCTTGGCTGCTGCCCGAGTTCCCTTCTTCAGTCTTTCTTTAGAAAAGGAGCAAAAAGCATTAATGCAGCACCAACAAAGTGAGACGAGTCTTTGCTTCATAGCCCTGCACGGGGAAAGGTTTTGGAATTCCGAGGCAAACCCTGATGCACCCAGAGAGCAACAGCCCCTCAGCCCCGCCACGGCTCCCCCCGGGGCTCCCCGGCAGGGAACGGGCTTACCCAGCCCCCGCAGCCCAGCCCAGCGCGCACCCAAACACCGCCCAGCTCCCCCGTTCCACGGGCACAGAGCACACCGCGCTCTGCCCCCAGCCCAGCCCAGCCCAGCCCAGCGGCCCCACCCTCAGCCCTCACGCACAAACAGCCGCAGCCGCGCCGGCCCCGCCCGCCCTTCTCTAGCGCGGGCCCGGCAGCCGCTGCCCAATCAGCACTCGAGCACCCCCGTCCAATCGCAGCCCGCGCTGGCCCTGCGGCCCCGCCCCGCCCGCTCTGCCCGCCCGGCTCAGGGGTCGGACGGGCCGGTGTGGGGGCTGAGGAGCGTCAGTAATGGCACAGTCAGTGCCCGGTATTTCTGCTGGTGCTGCAATTTCTGTTTTCAGCGTCATAGGAAACACCAGGAGACTGCTCGAAACATTTTATCACCACTGTTGTTTATAGAAGGCTTGGAACCCACTCTCTTCAGTTCTTGCTGTAACAGCTGCGTTTCAAACACCAAGCAATGGCAGGGAACAGTAATTTCATAAATTGCATAAATGCTTTTAAAAAAAAAAACCACAAAGACCTCTGCTTCTTTAGGCATCTCCACCTGGGAGATAAAATAGACGTGGAAAAAGTTTGCAATGCTGCTTCCAAGCCAACATCCCTGCTAGGAAATTACTCCAGCTCTCCTGCACCTCAGCGTGTTTTAAATACAGCCATTTCCTGACTGCAGACTCCGAGCTGCACGGTTTGGGAGCTGGGGAGTAAAATCAGCTGTGCTCTAATCCCAGCGGCACACAGAAACATGGATTTGGGGGCTGGACTGGGAGACACGCACGCAGAAGGTCTGTGCCACTTCAGAGAGCTGTTTTTCAGTGATTCACTCAGGCGTTTTCTGATGATTGCTGCTCGAGATCCCCCTGCCCAGAGCCAGATCCCTCCAGCTGGGAGGCAAATGGATTTCTCAGGAGTTCTCATTATCTTCCATTTATTGGGACATAAGAGAAAAAAAAAAAACAACCATAGATTGCTGACTTGGATACAACCACTCCAGATATTCCACGAGGAGAACATTCCTTCACTTTCTTTGTGAATCTCTCTAAGCAGGGTGGCTTGAACAATATTTCAATTCTCCGTGCCCAGGCAGCCCCTCTGGGTTCATCCCCTCTCGGTTCATCCCCGGGCGGTGCCGGCGCCGCTCCTGCCGAGCTGCAGTGCCGGGGGCTCCCAGCAGATGGCAGCACTGAGCGCAAATAGCCACCGCGACCGCGCGGCTTCGGGGGCAGCGCGGGCTGATTAACGAGCCCCCACTGAAATCCCGGCCCAGGTCCCAGATCCCACATCTGGGGAGAGCAAAAACATCGGAGTACACAGTTCCTTCCTACAGGTCATCTTGTCCTACATTTCCGAACCCTTTATTGTTTCATGTACAAAACCGTGTTTATTTGTATTTTCGATCCCTATAGATCCATAATCAGAGTTCCTCATAGTCTGAAATCCTGTCTATAACGCAGCAGATACGTGGGTTTATTTTGAAATCAATTTGTATATACATTAATATTATTTCCCAATATATATATAAATTAGGAACTTTGCAGTGTTTTACACACAACTCCCTCATGAATTTTCAGGTATTTTGGGGCTATCACCTCCCTTTTTTGGGGGGAACCCACAGGACCACCCTCATCCTCCACTCACCTGCTCCGTGACACCATCACCCCCCAGACTCCCCCGCCCCCAAAGAAGGCACAAAACAAGTCCAGCTGCCCTGACCAGCAGCTCAGTGCTTCCAGAAAGCCCTTGACACATGGACATCCCACTTGCAAAAAGGGGGAAAAATCAAGGGAGGGCAGGGCAGCCCCCAAAGGGTTGGAGTACCCTCAGCTCCCGTCCAGCTGCCCCATGGCCCAGGCAATGTCCCCGAGGATGGGGCCTCATCTCCCACCCCGGCTCCAGCAGTGCCAGGAGATGTCTCCTCCCTTCCCGGGGCGCTGCTGCAGGGACATCCCCCGGGGGGCTTCAGGACAGGCTGCACCGGGATGGCAATCTGGGCTCCCAGACCCACCCAACAGCTCCATCCCTGGAACTGCTGCTGCTGCACCTCCTGCTCAGCCAGTGGGGCTGAGAGTGAGAACCCACAGAAGGAACTGGAAAAGCACCCCAAATCTCAGGAACTCTGTACTAGTACCATACTACTATATCTGGGAAAAAGATTCCTGCTGAAGAAGTATCGGATTTCCCTCTGGCATTCACTGAACTGGCACAGCTGTAAACTGATGCCATTAAATTATCCATGTCCAAAATCCCCAGGCCTCCTTTGCCCTGGGGTTTTTGCCTGTCACACAGTTCAGAGGGACCTCTGGTAGCAGCACTGCCCAAGAGAGATGCCGTGAGACTGCTGGGGAAATGCATCTATGGGAAATGCATCTATGGTCTCCCCACCTCCATCACAGCTCTGGCTTCAACTTCCTCCTTGCCAGAACTGCTCTGGAAAGAGGAACTAACCAGCAAAACCAGGGGAAGTGAACGCGTCCATATGGAAGGAGTCACAACTTTCACATCACAAACTGCTTCAACTGTTTATTCCCCAAAATGTGCAGCAGGTGCCTCGTGCCACTGAAAACAGAGCCCAGCCACTCTCCAGCATCCCTGGGCAGAGCTGGGACAGTGCCCTTGGCACCAGGTTCCTGAGGTTCAGCATTCCCGAGCAGGAGGTGCTTTCCCCAACACTGCAGACCCTGGGGGAAAGTCAGGAATGGGATAGAGGAAGCTGCAGAGGGCCCAGACACTTGTGCCACAGGCTGAAACCTCCAGAACCACCAGTGCCTGCCCCAGGGTCTCGTGCAGCCTCTTCCCCAAGAGAGACGAGACAAGCATTGCACTGTCTCCCACACGGCACTACCTCTCCACTTCCTCTCCTTTCCTTTGCCCCAAAGGAAAGCCTTGGAGTCAGCAGCAAAGCCTGTGTGACCAGGGCCAGACCCCATGAGGGTAGGACCCCAAGGCTGTGGGGCTGTGGACAGGTCCCTTGCATTGGCACCGAGAAAATAGGGCCACCCAGGGGCAGGGGGGAGTCACCCAAGCACTGGACAAGGGAGATTTACATGGTGAAATTCCCTGGGCACGGTGAAGAGCTGAAAGCCAGATTTCTCCCTGCCCCACACCTGGCAGAGCAGCTTTCATGGGGAGGGAGCTTTTGCAACAAGGAGGGCAGCGAACTCTGGGCACCTCAACTTTCTGCTCCCCACACCCCTGTCTCGGTTCCACTGTCATTTCTCACATGCCTCAGCTTTCACTTCTCCTTTCTCTTTCACTAATACCCCAGCCAGCTCATTTCCCCATCTCCTGCCTCCCCACTCAGACTGGTAGAGGGTTCTGCACCGGTTCAGCCATGGGCTGGGTGCTCTGGGGGGTCTTGCTCATCTGGGTGCCCATGGTGTGGGTGAGAGGCACTGAGCAGTCCCAGGAGCTCTCCCCCTCTTTGGGGTTTCTGGAGTGCAGGAAGACCCTGAAGCTCTCACGTCTGGAAGTCCTGCCGGGGGGGGGCTGGGATAACCTCAGAAATTTGGATATGGGCAGAGTCATCAACCTGGGCTACTCGCTGTGTAAGACCACAGAGGACGGATCTTATATCATCCCAGATGAGATCTTCACTATCCCTGTCAAGCAGAGCAGCCTGGACGTCCACTCCGAGATCATCGAGTCCTGGAAAGATTATCGAAGCCTCACCTCTGCCTCCATCAACCTGGAACTGTCCCTCTTCTCCTCCATCAACGGCAAGTTCTCCTACGACTTCTGCCGGACCAAGACCCACCACGTGAAGGACCGTGCCGTGACCACCCGAGTGCAAGTCAGGAACCTGGTTTACACTGCCAAGGTCGACTCGGGGGCAGCCCTGGACCAGGGCTTCAAGAAGCAGCTGCTGACCATTGCCAGCCACCTGGAGAACAACCAGACACGCATGGCTGATTTTCTGGCCGAGGTGCTGGTGCTCAACTACGGCACCCACGCCATCACCTCCGTGGACGCCGGAGCCAGCCTGGTGCAGGAGGATCAGATCAAGGCGACCTTCCTGCAGGACAGCTGGGGCACACGGAGCGCGGTCACTGCCTCGGCCGGCGTGGCTTTCCACAGCATCGTCAGTGCGGAAACCCAGGAGACCCTGGACATCAGCTCTGGCTTCACCAAGCAGTATCTGCAGAACCGCACCCACTCCAGGGTGGAGAGCATTGGCGGGACCCCCTTTTACCCAGGCATCACCCTCAAGACCTGGCAGGAGAGGATTCAAAACCAGCTGGTGGCTCTGGACCGCTCAGGGCTACCCCTGTACTACTTCATCAAGCCCAGCGCGCTGCCAGAGCTGCCCACCCCGACGGTGAGGAGGCTGGCCAGGTGGGTGGAGATGGCCATCCGCCGCTACTACACCTTCAACACCCACCCAGGATGCACCGACGCCTCCTCACCCAACTTCAACTTCCACGCCAACACTGATGACGGCTCCTGCAAGGGTGCCGTGGCCAACTTCACCTTTGGGGGAGTCTTCCAACAGTGCGTGGGGCTGGCCGGCCCCGACACCAGCATCCTGTGCCAGGGGCTAGAGCAGAGGAACCCCCTCACTGGGACGTTCTCCTGCCCCACCACCTACACCCCAGTGCTGCTGGGCGTGCAGGAGAGGGAGGAGGGCCACAGCCACCTGGAGTGCCACAACAAGTGCGTCCTGGGCATCTTCTGCCATCGCAAGTGCCAGGATGTCTTCTGGCTCTCCCGAGTGCAATTTAGCGCCTACTGGTGCGCCACAAATGGGACAGTGGCCCCCTCCTTGGGATACCTCTTTGGGGGGCTGTTCAGCACCCACAGCGCCAACCCCATCACCGGTGCCCAGTCCTGTCCCTCAGGGTACTTCGCCCTGAAGCTCTTTGGCGAGCTCAGAGTGTGTGTGAGCCAGGATTATGAGGTGGGGGCCCAGTACGCAGTGCCCTTCGGGGGCTTCTTCAGCTGCCAGGCAGGGAACCCCTTGGCCGGGTGGCACCAGGGCACTGCCGAGGACCCCCATGCCAAGGGCTGTCCCCCAGGCTTCAGCCAGCACTTGGCGCTCATCAGCGACAGCTGCCAGGTGGAATTCTGTGTCCAGGCTGGGCTCTTCACTGGGGGCTCGCTGCCGCCCGCCCGCCTGCCCCCCTTCACCCGGCCCCCCGCCAACCTGCTGGCCATGGACACCGTGCTGGTGCGGGATGGGGACAGCACCTGGGTGAGGGACGGGCAGAGCCATGTGTGGCGGCTGGCACGGCCTGAGGAGATCCAGCATGCGGCGCAAATGGTGGGAGAGCAGGGGTTGACGGGGGGCGAGGTGGCCGGCATCACCGTGGCAGTCCTTGCTGGCTCAGCCACTGTCCTGGTGACGGCCTGGTATGGCCACCGGAGGTACAAGGCGTGGGGGTACCGCGCCCTGGGCACGCGAGACAGCGTGGGCTCTGCTGGGCCCCCCGACAGCACCGTGCTGAGCGTGGGTGAGGGCTACCAGCAAGAGCCCGAGGGGCTGGTGGCCTGAGTGCCCCCTGCCCGGATCGCCTGCCCCAAACTCGGGCAAAGCCCCCCCGCCGCACCCCGCAGGGAAGGAGGGAGCGGAGCAGCCACCCCGCAAGCCCAGGGCAGCCCCTGTCTCCATGTATATCTATCGAGATAGATATACACACGCATGCACAGAGCCACGGAGCAGTTTTATTTCAGCCAGCGACCGACTGTGTAGTCAACAGAGCATTAAAAAAAAGTCACGTTGTGGAAACACTTAGTCACAATAAAAGCCACCGTGGAGGTGGGGGGGGACCCTCCCCTTCCTCACCTGGATCACGGCAGGGTTTTGCATAGCTCCAGACAGGGTTTGTCTGCACCGGGGAAAACCCAGGGCTGGCATGGAGGAGAAATCACATGGCTGTGCAGCTCTCTGGGCGGCCAAGCCACCCAAAAAGGGGGGTGGTGTTCCTGGGGAAAGAGGTTTTCTCCCTTGAGGTAGAAAATAACAACCCAGGCTAAGGACGGCTGGGGACAGATGGGTGCAAAGGGGCTTCAGGGGGACGAGCGGTGCCTGGCCCTGCTCTCAGTGCCCCTCGCTCGCCTGGCCACACAGACGACTGACAGAAGACAACAGAGAGGCCAGGCCGTGCAGGGACCATGAGGGTCCCTTGCCATTCGCTTTATTGACTCCCCACTGCCCTCCACGGGGTGGCCAGTGGGGGTGACAGACCCCCCCCAGACCACGGAGAGGAAAAACAGCAACGACAACAGAACGATGCACAGAAGGACGGGCCCCCTCCCGCGCCACCGTCCCCAGCACAGAGAGTGAGGTGACCCTCCCCAGGCAAACCAGGAGGGGAATGCAACAAAACTGGCTGGGAGGTCCCACCTTCCCCCAGGGAGCAACAGCACAGGGCTGGGGAGTGGCCTGGGCACTGGTGGGTGCTGTCCCCCACCCTTGCTCTCCAACCTCGGGGGTATCGTGGGCAGCCAGACCCCAGCAGTGGGGACAGCCCTCAAAACCGTGGGGACCTCGCCAGCACCCTGGCACAGGCGTGAGGGGCCCCATGAATCCCACACTGGTTTGAGCTGGAAGGGACCTCATGGACCATCTCGTTCCAAACCCCCTGGGCAGGGACACATTCCACTTGCCCGGGCACTCAAAGGCCCAGGGAGCCCAAGAATGCCACAGAACACACTCCCCCACCCCCCCATCACCCACACTCTCCTACCCATGCCCCAGCCCACGCCAGCCCCTCCAAGGCCTCTCTGGGGGTAGCAAGGGGAACAGTTCTCAGCCCCACCTGTGCCTTGGCCCCATGGGGACCCACAGGTGACAGCCCTCCTGTGGGGCAGAGCCCTGATGGGGTGGGGGGTCCCCACAGCCCATCTCATCCCCAAGCACCACCGTGCCCAGCCCCAGTCTGGCTGCAGCCCCACGTTCTCCCAGGCCTCAGGCTGCCTCCCCAAACGCCCCCCCTATATGTACATATATACGACAAAACCCCAAAATACGAGGTATTATAGAAATTCAACGTGGGGACACCCCCATACAAACAGTTCAAGGAACCCACTGCGGTGAGGGTGGGACACAGGCCACAAAACGTCCATCACTGTCCCCCCTCTCCACTTCCTAGCACCCACCAGTCCCTCCCTGGCATGCAGAGGCAGGGGCAGCCCAGACAAGGGGACCCTGTAGGGCACAGTTCAGACACAGCCAAGACGAGCAGAGGGCACAGGGCTGGGGGGCAGCCCAGGGCCCCCCGACCTCCATGGATACAGGAGACCAGTGGGAAGGTACCGGACAGAACGGACAAACAAACAAACGTCAGTGGGACGAGGCAGAGCAAGGGGGACTCCCATGGCTTCAGCTCCCATCCCAGGACAAGTCCCAGCCCCAGGTAGGTCTCAGGGGAGTTGGGTCAGGCTGGGACCGGTGTGGATGAGGAGAGAGGGGAGCCTGGAACCCCTCAAGCCCTCAGCACAGTGGCAGCGAGGATAGCACACCATCCAGAGGGGTGGCCACGCCAGCCTGAAGCCCCACAGCTGTGTGTGGGGAGGTTCCCGCCCCGAAGGAGTGAAGGGGACGGCCGAAAGGACCTTCTCCCGCATTCCCGGCCAGCCTGGAGATGTTCCCACTGCATGGGTGCCACTGGGAGCAGGGGGGCTCCAGGTGCACCCTGAAAAGCCCCCCAGCGGGTTTCTCCAGCAGCTTTATCCTGGTGGGTGCCAGCACGGGCAACCCTTTCCGTGCTTCCTTGCCACGGTCTCAGTCCTTCTCCTGTGCCAGGCTCTCCTCCGTGATGCCCTGGGCTGCGAGCTCAGCCAGGACATTGTCCAGGTAGTTGATGTCAGGGTAGCCGTGGCCAGTGAGGTTGGAGCCGAACTCTGTCTTGTGGTGGATCTCGTTCCAGATCACTGTGTCCGACTCGCCCGTGGTGCTGGAGGTCCCAATGGCGAAGATCAGGCGCCGGTCCCAGGCTACCAGCAGCAACCTCAGGACCTGTAGAGGCGAGAGAGGGGGCAGGCAGCAAAGCAAACACCGCATGGGGAACCACCCGCTCCTGTTCAAGGCACGCCCGATCATCCTGGTGTGCTCTGGCAACCCACATCCGGGCCCTGCAGGGAGCTGAGGATCCCAGCACAGGGTCCTGCCCCTGGTCCCAGAACAGAGGGACCAGGCTGCTGAGCTCCCTCGGTACGTGGGAAGGTTCTCCATGGGAAAGCCTCCCCCTGCATAAGTCCGTTTTTCCCCTCACTCCCCCTCGATGAGCCTTGGCCAGCTGGAGTTGCCCAGGTGAGCCCCTCACCTTCCTGCCCTTCTCACTGTCTGGCAGGTAGCAGTGCCGGGGGAAGCCACGGGCCGTGAAGCTCTTCCCAGGGTTTGGGTGCTCCGGTCCCTGCAATGTGGGAAGTGGGAGAAGAAAACCCTTGTGGAGCTCAAAAGGATGCTCTGGGCACAAGGTAATCCCCCCCAGCCTCTGTGGACACTAATTACTGCCATCCCCCTACCACCAAGCAGACAGGGACAACACGCCCATCCAGACACAACCCAGACTTCCCACAACATCCTTATGGACAAGCAGCTCCTGAGTGAAGGCACGAGCTGCAGCATGACCTAGGGGGTAACACAGCAGCAACAAGGGCCTCCAGCCCCACAGGGGATCACCCACTTTCTCCCCCTGGCCATGTGGCCAGGCCTCACCTGCACCCCCGGGGGGATGTTGTAGATGATGCGGATGGTTTTGCAGTCAGAGTGGCCGGGCAGCGCATGAGGGATGATGTGATACTCCATCTTCCCTGGGGGCTGCGTCCCCGTCTTCACCCCATAGATGGTTTTGCAGGTGGGACACTGCAGACTCCCGTCCTGAGAGCAGGAACACACTGAAACCGGTGTCCACGAGCCACGCCAGGCACTTGGTGCCTGAGCGGCACTGAACGCTGCATTAATCGTGAAAGCCACCAAAAAACCACCCAGGAAGCATGGGATAGGGCTGGGGGAGTTCACTATGGCTACCCAGCTTCACCCAAAAATCTGAGGTCTGCGTTTCTCTTCCCCATCAGTTTTCGAGTCCTCATTGCTTTCTCTCCCTTTGATTCGGTGGGGTTTTTTGTTTTGTTTGGGGGTTTTTTTTCAAAGGGGGAAATATAATAAATATTAAAAATCTCCAAGCAATGGGGAACACATTTTCTAGGAAATGTCAGGCCATTTACAGCGGGCTCGGGAAAGCCTTCCCGTGGCTGGAAAAGCACTGCCAGGCACCAGATTCCAGGCAGCTCTGCTCAAACAGTCAGGGAATGAAAGTTCAAATTGGGAAGGAAAGCAAGCACATAAAACTGGGCATAGCGGGGGGAAAACACACCCAGGCAAACCCGGGTTCTGATTTAGCAGTCCCAAAGCGCGTGCTGCTGATAAAAATTAAACTGTGTCAGGGTGGGAGGTCAGAGTCCTCTGGGGCAGCTGGACCCGAGTGCTGTCCCAGCAGGAACAGAGGCAGCTCAGCACAGCTGGCCGAGCCGAGGCCTCTCACCTTGTTGCCGTTGTTGTACATGGCAACCAGACAGTGCAGGTGGAAGACGTGGCTGCACTTGACCAGCTTCCCCACGAGGTCAGGCTTGATGGCTGGCTGGGGCCCCTTGTAGCCAGAGGGGGCAGAGAGACGCTCCATGCAGATGGTGCAGTCCTGCATAGAAGGGGAGGAGAGGGATCAGAAGGATGGACACAGCCAGAGCCGAGGACACGGGGCTGATGAGCTGCCCTGGGACCAGCACCCACCCCTGGGGCTAGGCTGCCGCTCCCGCCTCACCCATCCCTTCTCCTTGGAGGAGACAGGGAAGAGCCATGAGGGGTGGTGGGACACCTCTGCACGGGAAGGGAGGAAATGGCCCAGGGCATGGTGCACGTCCTGCTGCCCATCCCGGTGCAAAGCAGCCCAGGGACAGCCCAGCACAGCCCCTGCCGCTCGCACCTCGTCCGGCGGGTGCCGCACCTTCTGCAGGTATTTTTTCAGTACCTCCTCCGGGGTTTTACCTGCGGGAGAGCAAGAGTCAGAGGGAGAAACCCACTGCCAGGGGCAGTAGAGGGGACAGGGGGCTCAGGGGAACCAGGCAGGGAAGGGAGGGACAGGGGTCAAGCAGCCAAGTGCCTCTCACCCTTCTTGGCCTGTTTCTTGGTGGTCTTGCGGCAGGTGTGGGAGATACCGGGAATGGACTGGATCTCGCTCTTGCTGACAGGCGGGGGGTGCAGAACCAGCTTGGGGGGTCGTGTCAGGCACACGGGCAGCCCGGCTGCGCTCATCAGGATCCCTGTGATCCCTGGGGAAAACAGGGCTTGGAAACGGCACCGAGGAACCAGCCACACCTCAGACCCCACACGATCCCCAAAACTGCCCCACCAGGGCTGCCTGTCCCCTACCCTGGGGCTGTTTATCCTTCCACCTCAGAGCTGTTTATCCTTCCACCCCAGGGAACCCAGCACTCATGGGCACCCTCTGCAGCCCCATCCTCACCTGCCAGCGCTGGGTTGACGGGGCTGGAGCCAGTGAGGTTCTTCACAGGGACAGTGGGGACCCTGAGGGGAGCCAGCAGAGACCACGTCAGGTGGCAGCACCCACATCCCCACAGGGCCCAGGGGCCAGACAACAGTTGCCCGAGCAACTGCATGGGCCCTAGTTGGAAACAGAGAATCCCACCATCGCCTTTTCTCTGGCGCTTTAGAAGCTCTGCCTGCATCTCCATTCATGGCCCCTTTTTGTCACTGCTCCCCGGACCAGTCTGTTGTTTCTTTTCCTCTTTTCTCCTATGGCCACGTCACTGCCACAGCTCTTTCCCCCCTCCCCTTGAGGCTCTCTTCCATGGGAAAGTTTCCTGGCAGGTCAGGAGCAGAGGGAAGGGGGAGGATGGAGATGGAGAGGAAAGGGGCCAGGCTGCGACAGAAGGCTGATGGCAGAGCCAGACAAAGGGGAGAAGCAGGCTCATTAAACATCCACCCCCTCACAAAAATGTGGGTGGGGGTCTGGAGGGACCCCTTCTCATGGGGTATGAATGGCTTTTCTTTGGGCCTCTCACAGTCCCTCACCCAACCCCTGCCTCCAAGAGAAAGAGCAGCCTCAGCCTCTTCATTGAGATGCAGGAGCCACCTCATCCCCGCTCCAGTCCCCAGGCACCTGCGGGGAAGGCGAGGGGCCCAGCAGAGCGCCTAACCCCGGGAGCCTGGGGAGCACTGAGGTCTGTCTCCCACCAGGTTCAGGGCTAGCGGGCCCCTCTGTGCCCTGGGGAGGGGGGAAAAGCTTGCACTGCCCCTTCCTCCCTCCAGGCACCCCCTCGCTCGCAGGCAGCAGGACTCACCCAGAGGCGATGAGCACCCGGGACTGGGCGATGGCCAGGCGCTGGAGGTGGCTGCGGTTCAGGGTGCCGAGGCCAGGACGGGCTGCTTTGCCGCTGCCGGCACCAGAGGGGCTGCCGGTGTTGCTGGCCGAGCTGAGGGCGGGCGTGCTGGCTGCCTGCCGCCGCCCGCCCTGGGCCGCCAGCGGCTTCAGCGAGCCACGCACCACAGCCACACCATTGGGTGCCTTGGCCCCCAGGGCGGGCGCCGGGGCTTTGGGGGTGGCTGGTGGCGGGGCAGGGGCTTTGCGGGGCTGCAGGGTGGCGGTGCCAGGGCCGGCGGCCGACACGGTGGCTTTGACACTCATGACCAGGAGGCACTGGGGACAGGTGCAGGCAGGGACCGGTGGGGCTGCCGCTGCCCCGGGGCTGGCTGGCCAGGACTGGGACTTGGGCAGGGTGCCCGAGACCAGCGGGTAGACCATGTCAAGCCGGCGGCGGACGCGGCGCTTGCGCTGAGTCTGCCGGTTGATCTGGCCCATGGTCGCGAAGTCGATAACATAGCAGAAGCCGATGGCGCTCAGGTCCACCCAGGGGTGCTGCTTCTCGTAGGCGCGCTGGATGGTGATGCCCACGTCCATGTCGTAGGGCGTCCACGTCCCGCTGTCATTCTCCCACTCCCAGACGACTCCCTTGCCTGGCGCCGACGACGGGTCGTAGTAGCTGCGCCGGACAGGGCGGATCGTGCCTGAGGGAGGATGACAGACCCTGGCGTCAGACCCTGGCGCCAGCACCCACCTGTGGGCAGGGAGCAAAACAACCCCAACCTGCCCTGCCAGTGCCATCCGCATGGGGACAGGACGGCTTTCCGGCTCAGCTGCTGTCCCTGCCCTGTCAGGGGACTGGCGTGCCTTGGACTCCCCTGGCTGCTGCCTGCGAGCCGCCCTGCCAGAGAGCACCCTGAGGTCCGTTCTCAGCCTGGGGCCTCTGCCCCAGTGCGACTGGGTTGAAGAGAAGGGCGGATTTCCCGCCCAGTGCTCTCAGCCACGGCACGTGGCCACTTGGCCCCACTGGGGAAACACAGTACCACAAGTTTGGCTGCTCCAGCCTGCTCCCGGAGACCTCCCACGGGAGCCTGATGAAACCAGGCATTAGGGCACTGGCGTCCTGCAGTGCCTGGCACTGTCTCCCTCTGAGCTCTGGACTGGAAGAGGATTCAATAAAAGATTTCAGGGGCATCTCTGAGCCCCTGAGCAGTGCCGCACACAGGCACTCGTGAACACAGGGGAGCGGTGCTGGTGCCAGCCCCGCCATCTGCAGCTCCCAAACCGGCCCACAATGAAAACCCAGACTGTGGCATAGGGAAAATCCCAGTGAGGCCAAGCAAAGGAGTTTGAGTGGGGCCCCGTGCCTGGCTCCTGCTCCCCCATCAGCAAACATCAGGAAAGGGATCAGAGCACACAAAGGTTCTGTGCCCTGCATCCATATTTTTGCTAGGTCTTTCCTTTCCCACCACTCCCAGTCAACTAGGATGCATTCAAACCATGGACAGAGATTCTGGAAACTCCTACAACGAGGAGAAAACCTTCCTCTTTGGGATGTCTAACGGAATGGCAGGGCAGGCTGAACATGGCCAGGCTCAGCCCTAGGGTCCCATCCTGAGCGTGCTATTCCAGAGGTGTTTGTGTAACAGGTGGGATGATCTCCCAAGCAGCGCTGCTTCCACACCCCTGTGCAGAACTCCATGGTTCAGCCCTGCTGCCAGCACTGGGAACAAGAAAGCTCAAAGAGAAGAAGTAACAAGCCTGCTGCTTCAGCTTTTCACCACGTGTCCTGTAAAGCCTGCAAGAATTTCAGTGATGCTTTTTCACCCCCACCACTCCGCAGGGAGCAGCCACCACTGCTGGTCCCACAGGGCCATGTCGCACACACTAGTGGGCTAAAAACGAAAAGGTGTTGATTGGCACTCTGCTATAGCGGGTGGGGTACAGCTACATGCCAGGCAAGCCAAGCCACCGGCCCTGTCCTGCGAAGGAGCACCCAGGTCAGAAAAGCCGCCGGCGCTGGGCGCACAAAGTGGGGCCGGGAGGGTGATTTATCCTAATCCGGCAGTGGCATGCGGCATCTGGCGGTCCCCAGGCAGCAGTGTGGGAATGCTGTGTGTTCCCCCAGCCCCGCGCCGCCAGCCGGCCTCCCATTCAACAGGGGAAGAAAGGGAACAATAGCTATTCAGGGCCTGCCAGGGTCGCGACCCCCCCCAAATCAGAGCTGTTTAATGACCCAAAATACCAACATCCCCAGCAACCCAGGGAGAGACAGAACAATCTCCCTTTCAGTCCTCCACCCTGGGCAACAATAGCCCTCAGAAGCTGGCCCCCAGCCCTCTCTTCGCAGAGGTCCCTTGTCCCCACACCCCCGGGCAGGGGAGGGTCGCCGCGAGCCCCCAAGGCTGCTGGGGGAAGAAGGACAAAGGAGGGTGTCTGGCGCTTTGCTGCACCCAGCACCCCCTGCCCCAGGGACAAAGCACACTGGCCATCACAGGGCTGCTGGAGGGGTCACAAATCCTGCTGTGCCAACCCCCCTGCCAGGGGTGCTTGTGTCCCACATCCCAGACAACCCCAGGGCCCCCCACCTGGGGGGACAGACAATCCCCATCACCTGCCTGCGCCCTCCTTGAGCATTCCCCCACCTGCTTGTGCCCCCTCCCTGGGCACCCCAGGGGCTGCCATCCCCCGGGGCAGGATTTGGCACCCAAGTATCGCTCAGCTCTCTAGGCCTTCGTGCCTGATGGCGGTTCAGAGGCAGCACAGAGGGAACGGGGGGAAAGGTCCGCTGGGGACGGGCTTCCCCGGCACGCACGGACAAGAGAAGCCCGCGGGGTGGGCGCAGGAGGGGCGCTGCAGCGGGGAGGTCAGGCAGCACGACCCCGGGGGGAGCGGAGACGCGCGGCACGGGGGGGCCCGGGCACGGGGCGGGAGGGCATCGCCGGCACGGCCGGGCGGTGCGGGGCATCGCGGGCACGGCGGGGAGCGGCCCTGGCACCGCCAGAGCCCGGGGAGCCCCGGGAGCATCCAAGCGGCCGGGAGCGGCCCTGGCACCGCCAGAGCCCGGGGAGCCCCGGGAGCATCCCAGCGGCCGAGCAGCGCGGTGCGGTGCAGGCAGGGAGAGCCGCGGGGGCCCGGCAGTCGCTCGGGGCGCGGCGCGGGGCCGACTCACCGGTGTCCTGGCGGAACTGGTGCATGGACTGCAGGTCGATAATGTAGGGCGCCAGGCGGCTGTCGGCCTGGCCCAGCACCACGCTGCCGCCCGCCCGCGGCCCGGCGCGGGCCACCGCCTCGATGTGGTGGCTGACGGCCGGGCTGTAGGGCCGCCATCGCCCGTGCTCGTTCAGCCATTCCCACACCACCACGGCCGAGGCCAGCAGCATAGCTCCGCCGCCGCGGGCCCGGCTCGCCGCCCCGCCGCAGCCCGCCCCGCCGGCTCTCGCATGCTCGGCGCGGCGCAGGGCTCTGCCCACCCCCGCCCGCGGCCGGAGCCGCGCACGGCCGAGCCGCCCCTGCGCGCACCCGCGGCGCCGCTGCCGGCCGGCCCCGCCCGCACCGGCACCCCGGCGGCGGCACGGCCGGGCACGGCTAGGAGGCACCGCCCCGGCGGCACCGCCACCCGCCCCGCCCCGGTGTCACCGGGCGTACCGCGGGGGGTCGAGAAACATGTGTCTGTCCCTGGATCTCCACCCTGCACCCCTGCGACCCCCCTCCGTCCCTGTACACCCTGCATCCCCACCCTGCACCCCTGAGAGCATTCACAGTGCCCCCTGTACCCCCACAGCTGGGTCCCTGGTGTCCCTGTATTCCCACCTTACACCCTGCAACCACCCACTGCCCCTGTACCCCCTGAACCCCTTGTACCCCCACTCTGCATCCCTGCGACCCCTCCCAGTATCCCCCACACCTTTAATCAGGACTGCAGCCCAGGGAGCCCCTGGTGTGTTCCCACCCCTGTGGGCCCCCACCTGCCAGTGATGGGACTTGGGGTGCTGATGGGTTACATGGACCCCACTTCATGTGCTGTGACAAAGAAACGTGGTCCAAGAGCTTCTCCTATTTCCTTGTCTAGGCCACAGCGCTTGTAGGGAGCAGCCCCCTGAGCTACCCTTCCCCCATGCCCATGAAGCACTGTCTCATGTCTCAAGAGGCCCCTGGGCTGTAGCCCCAGGTCCTGCACCCCAGCTCTCCCAGCTGCCTGCGACAATTCAGTTTCCCTGAGAAGTACTTTTCCTGCAGATTTCATGCAGCTTCAGCCCAGGGTGAGGCTGCAAATCCCTCGGGATTCTGCTGCTCCAAATGAGGGAGGCATTGAAGGCCAAATTAAAACCAGTGCTGCTCCAACTATAACAGAGGTACCTCTGTGCTATGGGACTGGGGCAGCCAAAAAAACATTCCTGAGCTTGTTCTTCCACTGAGCTCCACGAGCATCTTCCCAGGGCAGCCCTGAATGCCTGGATGTTGGGGACAGGCAAGTGCCGGTCTCACCTCCTTTGGTGCTCCTGCGCTCAGAATCACAAAATATCCTTGGATATTAAACACCCATCAATTCCTGATTTGGGAGAACTGTATGCACAGGTTTCACAGCAAGTCCCCCAGTCCACGGTCCACCTTGGCTCGGAGGGCAGCTCATCCCCAGGCCACGGGACACACCACTGCCGAGCTCTCGGGGCTGGTGCAGTTCCTCTCCTGGCAAACCTGTTTCCCAGGCACTGCCCATCCTGCTGAGCGTCTGCCAGCAGCACTTGTGGTGAGAAACCATTAGACAATGATCCAAAAAGAGGAAAAAGTGAAGGAAGAAGTGGGGAAGAAACAGGTGGGGACTAACTGGGGCGGTGCCAGCTGGCAAGTGCTGTGGTGGGACAGGACCAGGTGAACCGCATGGGCTCTCCTTTCCCCAGCTCATGCAGGGCCAGGCTTGAGGCACCTTCTCCTGCAAGAAGGGAGGGCTCCCGACCCTTCCTGGGAAGGGGAGCCCCTCCTCTGCATTTTCACCTGTTCCTTCAGGCAAGGCAAGTGCAGCCAAAGCCACAGTGGGGAAACCCGGGGAAATCCTTTCTGCTGACTCAGGCTAGAGGAAAAGGTTTTCCTGCTATTAAAAAGGAAAGTGTTGGTGAACATCCACCCCCCTGGCTGCGGCTCAGGATCAGGGAGTCGGGAGCCAGAGCTGCACAACTGAACCCCACCAGCCTCCAGTGCCTGGTGGGCAAGGGGCAAATCCATTCTCACCCAGCACCAATGCCAGCACCCAAATGGGTGTGCCTGAGGTCAGGGAGCAGCCTCAGTCAGCTTGAAACCTTTCCAACCCCACAAAGTGTGCTCAACCACATGTTAAGCCCAAATATTTATTGTTTTGAAATTAAACACATCCACGGGTTGCTTTTGGTGGCTCTTTCCCTGCTGCAATGTGGGAGTGCAGCCCCCCCGCCCCCCTTCCCTGTTCCCCCCAGCACTGCAGAGCCTTTTTCTCTTCCAAAAGCACAATCTTGGATGGTTTTGGTGGATTCTCAGTTTGCAGGAGGCCATTGCATGGGGTCCTCAGCAGCATCAGCCACATGGGTATGACTATCTTCCTCTCAAACTCCTAATTTCTGTTTCCAAAATAAACAGCTTCAGTCACCTCCAGCCACCCACATCAACTTCTTTTCAGCCTGTGGCAAAGCAAGTCCAAAGGGCCTCCTGGCACCAAGGGAGCTCAGCTGTCGGGTGCCCCTGTTCTCGCCAAATCACTTCACTGGTGATTCCCTTGGGGCTGCAGCTGAAAAATAATACTAAATCCCAGCCAGCTCAGACTCCCTGCGGCATGGTGGGGGCTGGCTGGCAGGGAAAGGCTGAGAACTGGAGCCTGTAGCTCAGCCAGAGCGTGGAGGTTTGGATTATGGATTGCTTTTTCCCATTGTTTCTGGTGGCCATTCCTGAGCGTTGCGGCTGCTCCACAAACACAGACACACCCGGCACCACTGGCCAGGTAACAGGGCAGGAGCAAGGAAGGTTGCAAAAGCGGTGTTTCCCAGGACAGGGAAGCCCCTGAAGCAACATCATCATCCCTGTTGCTGCTTCTATCCCCCGAGAGCGACTGCAGCACCGAGCTCAGCTCAGTGCCAGCAGCAGATACGGAAGGATCGAGTTGCAAGCCAGGGCTGGGTGATCCTGGCTCTCCTGGGACCTGAAGGTCACCTCGGACCCAGCCACTACTGCTGTGGGAGAAAAGGGGTCTGTTCCCACCTGCTCGTGTCATGAGGCTCCCTCCAGGTGCCTGTGCCCACCTCTGGGAAGGTGAGGGGCAGACGGTGTGAGCATTGCTGAGCAGGAGGGTGCAAGGGGGCACAAGCAAGATGGCTTCAAGTGTACAGAGCAGAGGAGATCGGGAGAGAAAAATACCTGTCAGAAAAGGGACTTGCTTTCACTAAACCTGAAAAAAATAGTGGCCAGAAATTGTTATTCCTGAGTGCAGGGAAGCAGAAACATCCCAGTAATCCAGTCTGAGCTGTAAAGCTGTGGGCAGGCAGTCAGTCAGTGGCAAGGAAGAAGGTGCGCATTCTTCTTTGTGGGCACCACCCGTAAACAGAGGCAGCACCAAACCACCCTCGGAGCTCCGGGTGCCCCGATGTGGACAGTGGGGTGGGCAGGATGGGCTCTGGGGGCTGTGCCTTGGTGCTGCACCAGGGCCCCTGTGCCGACGCTGCCAGTGCTGGGGCCAGTGCTGTCCCCACCAGCGACAACAAAGCTGCTTTGTGCGGGGCCAGCCGGGCACATCCCCAGCCTCTGTCCCCAGCCTCCTCCCCGCTTTGTGGCTCCGCTCTCCCCCAATGTGGCCTTTCCTCTCACAGGCCAGGGTAAAAGGCAGGGCCACACCAGGACAAGGCACAACCCCAGCAACCCCCCCACATCCTTGTCATCTTCCCCAGCTCCTTCATCTTCTGCACAGCCTCCCAGTGGGTCCCGTCCCCCCTAGACCCCTCATCCCGCTGGGACTGACCCTTCCCTGGTGTGGGCACAGGGCAGGCCAGGCTCTTCGGTGAGGTTGAGCCCCACTGTCCCACCTCCCCCAAGAAGTACATCACCCTGGTAGATCTCCCAGCCCTTTTATTCACTCAGCAGCCAGCAGCCCTCACATCCAGTCGGCACGAGAACCACAGCTCGGGCAGCTGTGAAACACTGCTGAAACACTCCACAGGGTGAGCGGTGTGTTTGGGGCTGTTTGATTCTCCATGCCATTTCCAGTCCTAAAATAACACCTGGAGGCACTAACCTCCTTGCAGAGGGGCTTCTGAATCACAGCCTTCAGTGAAAAGATCCTCTCCATTACGATGTCCAAGAGGTTAAGAAATTCCCTCCTGACCATATCCCCACTTCCCCCCCCTCCCCAGAAAGCCCCCAAGCAGTTAGAGCAGAAATTCAATGAGCAGCCAGTGCAAGCTGGGCAGAAGATGTGCAGGAGGCAAAGCCTTGCTCCTTGCAGCTGCAGGGCAGGTCCCAAGACCCCTTTGGCCAGGTGACATTTTGCTGTCCCTTGGCTCCTGCCTTGCATCCACAAGAGCCCCCAGGGTGGCCACAGCAAACCAGGCAGCGACCAAATTCCAAAGAAAAGGACCCTTGCTGAGGGTCGCGGCCTCCAGGCCCTGGGGTGAGCAGCAAAGCTGCTTCCCAGGGGATAATTCCAACTGCCAGCCCAAGGACCACTGAGGATCGCCCCGCCTTGGGCTCCCCGCTCCCTCCGAGGTACACTGCGGCCCATGCCTCAGTTTCCCCACAGGGAGTGGCACCAAAAGCATGGGGGACCCAGGGATTAATGGCACGGTCCCTCCCATCTGCCTCCCCTCCTTCACTGTCAATTGCCCCCCACCGTGCCCCAGCAGCACCCGAGACCCCCTGCCCCGCACTCGCCTTCACGGGCTTTCGGCCGGGCTGGGGGATGAGCCGGCACCCGGGCTGGGCTTGGCGAGCTGCCGCAGGTCCCGTGCAGACCTCACGGCCCACTGGGCCAGCTCCCGCAGCACCCCCAGGCCCCGCAGCTTCTGCTCGAAGAGGCCTTGGGGCTGGGGGGGCGGTCCGTCTTCCTCCTCGCTTGGGGGCCCGCGGCTCTCCAGCCGCAGCAGCTCCTCGAGGTGGTAGGCGAAGGCCGAGACCTGGAGCAGCACGGCCGCCAGCGCCCGGCCCAGGGCGGCGTCGGCATCACCCAGTTGCTCCCGCTGCTCCTCCAGCATCTGCGCCAGCACGGAGCGGAAGGCCCTGTAGGCCGCCAGGTTCTCCAGCAGCCGTTGGGTCCCCGTCTGCTCATCCCAGTGCTCCACCGCCGCCGGCGGCACCCCCTCCACCGCTGCCACGCTGGCCGAGGCGTCCAGGCCCTGCTGCTCTACCTGCGGGGCGAGACCCACCAGGGATCAGCAGTGGTGGGAGCAATCTGGGGGGTACCCCCCACCCTGAGCCACGCCAGCGCTGCTCCAGAGGGCCCAGTCCGGGAGGGGTTTGTG